TATAATCAAATGACAGAACGTGAGATACGGTATTCGGGTATAGTTTTGGATATGAAGTTTCATTTAAACAACCATCTACTATAATACACATATCACCCAGTTGCCTCGACTCCTTCTTCTAAGCTTTCTGGCGTCAGAAACAGGTAGTTGTCTTTGTTAGAATGGTACATACAGTCAATACTTTTTGTTACTTTGCCAAAATTCAGCAATTTATTACGTTTATACATAAACTCTGAGAGTCATTTTTAACTTACCATTTAGAATTTACCCGTCGTTGTTCATATCTGCATAATAACGTTTTTATAGTGGAAACCAGCCTTCGGTTATCTGGTGTTAAGGCATCTCACACACTTGGACCTCCAGTTCGGAAATCGGTCATAAACGATTTTGGAGGGATTGCGATTTCAATTATGATAACGAATAGTTGATATAAAGTTGTCACCGCAGTAACTTTGCATGTCGCTTCGGAAATTCAATAGAAATCCCAAGTCATAGGCAACTAACATCTATCTAGGTTGAGAAATGTTAACCCTTGATGTATGACACTTGGTTACATTGGATGTGAGCACTTGTACACAACCAAAAGCCATGATTCGTTACTGACTTCGTTTTACGTCTTCATGCATATTCTTGTGTTTCAGGTTGGTGTTAATACAATTTGGCATGTCGCGTTGTATAATCTCTCCGCCTTGAAATAATAGGGAAGGTTGACTGATATATCGAAGTCATGACTTACCGGTTTAGGATAATTCTCCTTCTGGAGCAACCAGGCTTCTTCCTCGGATCGAATCCGCTTGATAATGGACGCCTTCCTCCGTCTATCCTCCACCAATTGCTCATTTATCTTTTCATGATCCCTCTGCTTTTCATAATCCACCAGTTTTGCTGGAGTAATAAAGCATTGGTCACTCCCTTTTTGCTTGAGTACTTACAATTCTACACATAAACATGGAGACGAAGATTGATGCTTGGATATCAGAATATGTCAGACCGTCTGAATATTGAGTGGAGGCGTTGAACGTCACTCTTTTATTTGTATTAAACTAGACGCTTGAAAGTTTAGTGTCGTCCGCCTGTCACTTGCATTTTCCACAAATCTGATCAAGGTCAAACGGTTACAGTTTCCTCTAGAGGTTGCATCCAGTTGATGAAGTTCTTGTCTCATGCCGTGTTGTCTTCTTCAATTGGTGCAGTGTTATGTCAAAAACCCTACTATACGTATGACTAATCTGACTATGTGCCTGTGGTTAGGCGGCTGACGGAGCGCCATTCAAGCCTCCTCGTTTTAGTAAAAAAGCTGAAATAATGGGAACCCTTTCAAACAATCCGGTGATTATTTTTGAGTCACTAGTCAAAAAAAACATGTTCTGAGTCTGTCAGTTTATTTTTACCGCTAATGCTTTGTGCTGTCACGAAAGACCTCACTTCCAAACTCTCCACATCCTTCATGCATATGACTCACCTTACCCTTCCGGACCAATGAAAATAACGAACATCCTCAAGTTAGGCAGTTAACAACGTTCTTACTGTTACCTTCCAGAAGTAATTCAGCATCTTCTACACCAAACATAGTTACTGGGACAAAATGGTCCCATATAGTTTCGCGGAATGATCAAAATCTACAAAATGTACGTTTGTAGGCAGAAGATGAGTGAAATGCACACTCACATAACTTCCATTTGAACAGTCATCATCTACCACTATGGCGTCCCCACACCTATTACTTTGGTTACCAAATTTTGGTCAAGCTTCAAAGTTTTAATATTTTACTCTGCTACACCCTTCAATTTGTGGTTGAAAAACATGATGATCTTAGAAAGAGGAACCTAGAGCTTGGGTTACACATGCCAGTTTCCAAGGAAAAAACGACGTAGCAGAAGTCCATGACCACGAATAAGCTAAGGTGACGTTAAAGCAACAACATCATAGGGCATGTTTAGTGTCGTACACCTAAAATAGTGTATCCAGCGTGCTCCACTAACCATTCTACACTTATTATTAGATAATTTTTCACTTCTTAACACGAAAACAACTGCAAGTTGGCTGGTCAAAAATCACACGGAATGGGTTTGTAAGTGAATGATTTGCGGTTATCAGAAGTATGATCCACGAACGTTTTTGCAGATAATTCGTTGACAATTTTATTAACCATACCTCCACGGCTAGACCACAATATTTTCGGAACCACAGCGTAAAAATTTCGATGGTGATCACATTTATTAAGTAGGTTCATAGGGCACAAGTTTTCATGGTGAAAAACTAAAAAATCAATTGCTTTAAAGCAGCGTACGTGCTCACTTGAGATCATTTCAAGTTGTGCAACGTGTATCAGTGTGCGTGGTTGAGTGCGTTCGTTTTCCCTTTCCCAAAAAAATTCCTAGAGGGTGCCACCCCAAACTCTGGTACCTCACAGAAGGCATAAGTAAATACTTTTCAAGTATTGCAGGCGTGCACTAAAATATGTCTCCTGAAACGGCAATCCTGGAGCTGACCCAACTAACGCAAAAACACGGTTATGGCGTGGCCAGTCGAGGTACTTATATGATGGCTATAAATATGCACAAACACTTGATCATTTCTACCAATAACTGAAAGGTGTATTGCAACGAAAATGTGCGGGTTAACCTCTGGTCTTACGATTTCGCTTGACATCATGGGTAAAGTTTTTTTGCTTCGGTCGCCATACCATGCAACCTTGCAAAATATGCAACAAAAAGTAAAAACTTGACCACCAACCCCAACGAACAGCCGTGCACACCTTGAGATGAAGCGTTTAAGTGGTAAGGAAGCACGGTTTATCCGACGCCTGTACTTTGTTACGCTTCCGCGTGTGACTGACAAAAAGACAGCCTAATGAAACTACTCTCAAAAATTTATGTCCAGAGTTTTCACCCATTTTACACGCATAAAAATATTTGTGGTGAAGCAAGCTACACATCAAGCTCTTCCATGAAGAAGAATTTCATGTTGAGCCTGTTTTATTCTGATATTTTTACCTCTGAGAAGTGACAGCTAGTTGGGTATTCTGGACTGAGTGCCTTATATCTTATGCTTGAGTTTCCGTAACTAATGCAGAGACCTACAGTGAAGAGAGCGCCGGGAGTACAACGTTGATTTTTTCCAGAGTTTGGCTATTTGTTTAGCAAAGAAGACTGTTATTTGTGTAAAATGTGCATCAGCTCACCGCGCCTAATTCGTTTGTTAGGTAGAATCCTTATTTAGTAGGATGGTAGTGGCTACTCATCAATTTCCTTAGTAGTCAAAAATATTCTCGCGTCAACTGTTCGAAGAAGTCGTATGACGGCCAGATTTTCATTTACTGAGGAAAGGAAAGGCCTGAAACTTCAGTCACCTTTGCAACATTTGGATCTTTCTATCAAGCTGGGCACTAATTACGACAAAATGTCGACCATTTCAAATTAACAACACTGGTATCTCGACCGAATTCCCCTACAGTTGCAGGATTTCTATGGAACCTTCGCAAGACTTTGAACTGCGAAACCAATTATTCAAGTGTTCCAGTGCAAAAATAATACCTTCACACAAAACCTGTTGATATTTCATAATAAATAAGTTACAGATGACAAGACCACTTTCCCTAAAGAAAAGGTATGCGTTCATATATGTGCACGACATTCGTAATAGCACACTGCAGCACCTTGCGCCCATGCAGGTGAAAAGTTGAAGTCAGTATTCAGGCTGAAAAAGCAGGTGTACTCGCTCTGAATGTATGTAGCATTGACGTAACCGTTTTCACGATATAAAATGAAATCAAGAAACCACCATCAATCTAACGTATGGATATCTGTAGAAAATTGCTACTTTACATCACGGGTGCATATCGCTCCTTTTGCCACATGATGGTTTTCAAGCTTGTAATAAAATACATCTAGATTTGGACTTCTATGGTGCATAGTCAGTTGGTAGAATTTGGCTTCAAACGTGGAGTGATTTTCCCTGGTGTTTAAGGTTTGTTTTTGATTGATCTATACGTTCGTATGTAAGCCAGATTACGAGACTCCCATTCCGTTTTTCACAGTAAGCTTCTCTTTCTGGCTGGCACAGTAATCTTTTAAGCTGTATATTGAAGCGCACTTAACGTTCGCGGTTAATTTAATTTAAATTTGAAAAAAAAATTTGCTCTCAGTAACTTGTACCATCTATATATTATTATAACTAGTTGTTTACCTGTATTTCTCTTGTCAACTTGAACCTTTCGCGCAGCGAGCCTTACGCCTCTTCTATTGGCCTTCACGATTTTTGCAACGCTAGAAGCCTTTATAAGCTCGGCCTTGTTTGTCCTTTCAAGTTGCTCCTGTAGTCTGTGACTTTCTTCCTCTAAAGACGACGCATTAATACGCTTTTCCTGCAGAAGCTTTCGTTTTGCGTGGAAAGCGGATTCGCGGCTCAGCAAGCTGCTTAGCCGGAGCTTCTCAGCTAATGCCTGACGGTCACTGATTTTCCGTTTCTCCTGTTCTGACCTCCAGCTCTTATATGCAATGCAGTCAAATGCCCCGGCTTCAAGGTCACAAAATCTGAAATGGTGAGCAGTAATCTTGTATTCCTTTCATTTTTGTCAATCTTGCATAGACCAGGTAGATCAAAATATTTATCAGGCTTATTGAAACAAGCAGAGAACGCCTTTGTGTTATTACTATTCCGTGACATCTGGGTGTTATTTGATACAGTTGGAGTGAGAGTTGGATGTTTTGTTTTGAATAGAAAATAGTTGAGAGTGTATGTGTGCTGTTTTGGACCTTGAATTCGCGTCCACCAAACACCGTTAAACTGGACAGTTAAAAATTATGAATACCTGAAATGGAATAAGAACATTTTGTCCTAAATTTCGCTGCCCTTACTTTGGTAGTCGAAGGTCATTCAGCCATCTCCATCAAACACATTACGATGTGCCTCAAAAAGTTCTGTCTGTACTTTCACCAGGACAATTCAGGGTCAGTTAATGAATTTTAGCACAATGTAGGGAACAAATGCCAAGTTATGTCCATAATGGTCCTGAGTAAATTGTTACCGATTGGTCTCTTCGCAAAAATTATATTCTGAATGGCAAAAGGTTGCTAAATCCAGTTCAGCACCTCAAAAGCGTACCTCAGTTTAGAATTCCGTGTATTTATCTCTAATCTTGCTTCCTTGTTCACAGAATGTTAGGGACCGTCACAAGTAAATATGAACAGCTGCAGTTGAGTGTGTAACTGAATGGGCAGCACTACACTCAGTACCCTACATTTCGACCGTAGGTAGTATCAGCTAACACCTGAGTATTTCAACCCAATTTTCTTAAGTGAAATGAGTCAGCTTGGTCCTATCGAAGAACATCCAACCGCTCAAGCAGATGATCTGGGGGGAAGCTGAAAGAATGAAAGACACCGCCATTTCTTGTATTGTCTGCAATTAAGCGTGGTAGGCGGATTGCATAACAACACCCAAACTCTTCGCAATCTTTTGAAAACGTTTCAATCAAGTCATACACTGTCTACTTTTCAATTTACGTCGTTCCGCAGTGAAGCCTGAAAGTCATTACCGCCAAAGTCAGCTGCACTGCTCATTGTCATCTCTCTGGATGGGAGCCTCGAGACGAGACACATCAGTGCTTAGAGATATTGTCAATGTAACTCCTGCATCCAAGCTATTGCTTTCACTTCATAACTCCCTTCCTGATCTTCCCATATGAAAGCCCTTTTACAACCCTGTATCCACGCGTCAGTAATCAGCTCCCGTCTCTAATGCACAGCCACCTACCCAACCTCTCCAAATCATCGGCGAACAAAACTGTAACAACAATAACCACAGTACGTCAATAAGTGGCTCTTACGGCTGATAATTATGATACTGATTCTGAAGCATGCGCGGGGAACAACACTAGTTTCCTCACATTATCAAAGTATCGACTAACATAATGAATTTATTTCACTACCTTGTTTCCTTTACAGTTATAGCTATTTTAAATTTGAATACGAAATGAACTATATAACAACCCAGAATATAATGGATTCACAATGAGTTAAAATTATGCTTTTCGTTCGAAAAAAAAGACTGATTGATCCTTGTTTCTCGTCTCATAAAGGACGACTCAAAAGTCTTGCTGCTAATACCACAAGTTCAACTCAAATGAGAGAGCAACTTGATGTTTAAAACTTTCACGCATATCATTTTCTGGTTACTCTTTTTATATCCCAAGCAACATATTTTTACGCAGTGGATTGTACATTTTGCCACTGAATAGATGGAATATCTACGAATTTCGTCTGTCCAATTAGGATAAACGTGACTGATAGCCCTTAGAAAATTTTAACAGCACTGTCAATCTCTCTGACAGGTATTGTTTTGGACAAAGAGAAAATCGCAAATAACTCACTTTTTCTCCTGCTCTTCTTCTATTTTCTTGTATACCTCCCATTCTCGTACAATACTAGCTGTATTCAAACGAACATCGGCTTTGTTGTTGACTCGTTTTACTGGTTGGGCCTTAAACATGGATGAGCGATAGAATTCTGGTTTCTTCTTTTTGCGCTTGGACAGGCGAGCACACGAAGGTTGCTTTGCATCGCTTTCCAGACAAAGTTCTTTGATCTGTGATGTAGGAATGCATTTTATCAGAACACACACGTTCAAATAAGAAACACTTATCGTTGTCACCCTTGTCGAAGCATCGAAGGCGCAATTTTATGCGTTCTTCAAAGTTTTCAGTGCACCAGGTGTCGGTTTTTGGTCAAAAGTCAGCCTTAGTTATCTATATTGGCATCACTGTCGCGAAAGCGGCTTTACCAGCACATTTTTGGCAAGCCAGTGATAGTCATATTCCACCTGAGTGCGTTTAACAGGATTAACTGTCAAGGACGATCTGGTCAGCACTAAAATTCTCAGCCACACATCTGCCAAGCAGCATACAAAAGCGGACATGTTGAATCGTATTCGATTTTTGGTTTGATCAGCTGCTGAGTGCATCAGCATCCGATACGTAGTGGCCTTTGTATGAATATCCAATAGCCACCAATCCTCATGGTGTATATCATAGGTTTCATGCCACGAATTCGAAATTTTCCGTTAAGTTATGAACCCTTTACCTATAAACAGAAACCACTTAATGGAAGCGGAAATCGCCCACAAAATACTTTTCTGAATGGATTTAATGGGTGAATACTACATTCTCGTACAGAAGAACTGCAAGAAAAGCTGGTTTGCTGTGCAAAATATTATCAAGAATTACCTCACCTGAATTGACCAGCCAGTGTTATGCACACAAAAAATATTAGAATACTTATTCCGGATTGCACTGCTGTGCTCATACAGCACCGTTCCACACTTGTAACTGGATGCCGTGTGATAAGGAATCCTTGTTATGATCGGCGTGTTTTCTGTCTCATAGCCACGAACAGAAAAAGAATACTGGCATTCCACAATGCAGCTCTTCCACCCCTATTGCTAAGATCGACTCTAACCATTCATGTGCCAGTTTTCAATAACTCTATGATACAAAACCTTCTATTCTCATCTGCAGGCACTAAATTTGACATCTGGAAAACGGTGGTTTCCAAATGCAGAAAGAAAGTGTCTCAGTGACTCGTTTAATATCTCCGGAAAAATCAGGTCATCTCAGAAGGATTTATACACTAGACGGTATGTTAACTCCATGCCGGCGATGATTCACACGTCATTTCATTATTCCTCACTTTCTCGATGATTTTAGAATGAAAACTGTCCAGAAAGATTGTGGTGACAGATTTTCAATCTTTTTTGACGGACACTCGTCCTGCAAGTTCACATTCTCAGTTTGACCAGAAAGACAAAGTGCTTGTTTTATGATGACCACTGTGGGTGTTTTTGCAGTCACATTAGGTTTATTTATGATTCTTCATCACGCGCAGCGCTTGATTTGTAGATGGTATCAAAAAAATATGCTTACTCGTTCACGGTTTTGCTTTTTCTGCTCCTCTATGTTTTGAAACTCCTTTGGTTGGGCAAATACACTCCGGGGTACCGGGCGCGCTTTCTCCATGTTTGCAATCTAAACATTGGTCAGATGAACACTAACTGCTTACCGGCCATGGAATTGGAATGCCTCGTGGAAGCGGTTGTGTGAGTTTGAATGGTCTGCATACTTATTACGTAGATTGACTATCACAGCACACCTATATTAGCTTACCTGTTGTTCGTTTTGTCTCCGATTGTGATTTCTTCTTCTGCAGACTAGCTTCGTAGGTTTCACTGAATTGTTTAAGCATTGGTTGCCATCTGTGTTGCAAACAGAATCTTTTGTTGACTATATCCAAAACAGTTGTCAGAGACCGTAAGGTTATGGTTGGTACTGATTTTCATTACTCTCGCAGCTTAATACTGGGGAACAGATAAGGTTTTCTTTGACCTTGTCAAAAAGACAGCACTGACCCAATACGCGCTAACCATAACTTAACAGGAGCTATTATCTTCTGTTAAGCCCCAATGATATCGTCCTTATTTCCAGAGCTTCAAACTGGCACTGAGAAACGTCAAAATGTACCAAGGATTTACTTTTACCCCTCGTCTCTGTAGCTGCAACCCCTCGATTGCGGTACTGATATAAACACTCCGCCGTACTTCCTGGTGCTCTTAAAAAATATCGTGGGAGAACTAAAATAGAATTCCCCCAAATTCATTGCTTTGACGATAGTCCGAACGAAAAAACCTGAAAGAAAACTATTTTGGTAAATTAGGTGCTGTTATGCACACGGTCAAAGCTCGTAATCACAGAACACAAGCGTCACCACCAATGGATTATGCGCTCAGTCATAAGGCACTCCTATTTACCCAGGGAATACCTAACTTCGTTCACACACTCGTTAATGGAATTGATTTCATATGTAACAATAATGGTTATCATTAGATAAATAAACTCATTTGCATAGCAGTTTGGTTTTGAGGGCAGACTGACCTAAAACCAAGCTGAATCGCTCATTTGTTACCTTAAGGTTGTTTTCTCCCGATGCACTTTCAATAAACAAATAGTTTGTACCACGAAACTTTGGTCAGTTTCCTCTGAACATTGATTTGATGGTGCAAGTGAAGTCATCCAATGCTCAGAAGCCTATATATTCAAAACCATAGACATTGACCGCCGCACGAACCTCCAATGTGGGTCGAATTAGCAAGCTTTCGATTGGACATCACATAAGCTAGCAATATGCCAATGTTCAACGACGTGACTAACATTCACTTGGAATTTAACTTCCTCACTTTCATTCAAACCGATTTATCCATGTGATCACCAGGAATGTAAGTGTTAGATTAACAAATTTTCGCCTATCATGCTACAATAGACTGATATTTTTTATTTATGACCAGTTGGCTTGCAGTATCCAGGTTTTTATAATGAAAAACAATACAAACACCTTTGAAGAAGGTTGGTTTGTTCCAGCCTTGAGTAAGCATAACATAATCGTCACTGACAGAAGAACAGCCAGTTTACTGCTAGGCGCATCTCAACAGCAATCGCTTGATTTATGCAACAGTTTTCTATGTCCTTTTTTGTTTATTAGACTGATCCAAAAATTTATATCTGATTATTAGTTATATCGAAGAATCACAACCTGAAGTTAAGTGATCTCTCTGCTTCTAGTGGAAATTAAGGATACTGAATTTGCAAATGTAAATTTATAACACCTGGTTTATAACAATGGGTCAGCCCTCCCAAATAACTGACTAACTAACCTTTCAAAAGATTTCACAAGGAGATTTTCTACAAACTCCTCACCGTAAAGATGACTCCACGCTTCTTTTAGCTTTATTTGTGATTCTTCAGAGGTGAATACTTTCAGGAGCTGTAAAAGTTTAAACAGAATATATGCTTTGCCTACTGCAACGGCAACCTGAGAGCTGGTCAATTGCAAGATCTTTCTGAGTCCCTTCAGTCCGATTTCATCCATTTTGAAAAGCAGAAAATACAGGATAACTTTGAATATTAGTAAACGTTATTCTTACCCAAGACCTCCGGTCGTTGCGTTGGAGTAACTTTTGTTGCAGACGAATCAACAAAGACGGTAAAGGCGGACTGCGTACATTTTTCAAATGTAGAAAACCTTTCAATTAGAGATATATCTTTTGTGTCAAGTGCATCTATTTCCTTTACATGGTCAGATGGTTCGAGCACAGTGACTCACTGCATCTGATTTTTTTTGCAGGAAGTGACTCAACGTTGAAACAATGTCTCGGAGGTCGTATGAGTCTGCGAATTCCATAATTTGTACAGTTTTTGGAGTATCACTATTCGGTAACTTGTGATAAGATTGGGAATTTCCACATCTGTGAAGAGAAATTTAAACAAGAAACCAATAGTAAAGCATCTAACACTTTACACTTTGTGCGGCTTTGTGGTAGTCTCAATTTAAGTATGGACGTTCTTTGTGCTATGGTTTCTGTGGGTGGGAATATCCTACCAAACATCAGAAGAGTTCTGTATAAATTCATCTGAGATCACAATCGGCTCTCGAGATCTATGGAGAAAAACTGTAATTATCACAGAACCCATTATGCCTTGGTGGGTGTTGCTTTCCACGAAATTCCTGCTTACAGTTTTGCATTTGTCAAACTTTTGAGCAACTTTGCTTTGCTATCGACTGTGACGAATTCGCGCTGTATAATAGAAGTGTCTGAATGTATACCGACGTTACTCAACCTTCTCACTTTTTCTCTTAACCTGTATATTTTAGCTGGAACTATCACAAGGTTTATGTATTGTTGTAAGAGACACCATCCTAACTACACAAATAATAGCCTGAAAATAAATAGTGGAATTTTCTGAAGTTGATCAGTGATATTACCGAAGATATACCGTGCTTGCTGAAAGTGTCCAAGGACATAGTTGGCTTAAATGAAAGGTTTAGCAAATTTCAAGCCTTCAGAGTTAAAAACAAAGACAATATTCAAGGTTATTATGAATTACTTTTTACTGGTCAGCATGGACTTGTCAGACACTTTTTTAAACAAACCGCAGTAAAACGCTTTAATAGAGTGCTAGAAGCCACAATGTTGATATGACGTTAACTCAGCAGATTTTACCCACTCACAACGCGTTTGTATATCTATTCCCCTTAATTGTGCAAGCCTCAAAACTCAAAAACATTTCTGCAAATTAGACGTTTACTCCTGAGAGTCAGAAACACCATCTGTGAACGTTAGTAAAATACTCGTCGTTTATATTTCTATCTTTCCTGTCTTTCGCCATGGCCATCTCCGAATAGTGAGGAACACAAATGTTACCCACACTCTGTTGCTAAGCTCATTGGTTATTTCACCGGTCTTATAACTGATTCTCTGTCCGAATAGTGAGGAACACAAATGTTACCCGCATTGTTGTATAGTCTAAGACAACCTTCTTGTCTGCCAGAACATCTAAACACTCTGTTGCTAAGCTCATCGGTTATTTCACCGGCCTTATAACTGATTCTCTATCGTCATTACGCTCGGCTGAACTTTTATCTTTGTCTCTTGCATTTGATAGTCAGTTCATTATGTCTTACAAACCGGCTTATCCCTGAATCTGAAGGGACCTGTGTATCAAGCTGCAGTACGGGCTGTTATGTTGTATGGCTGTGAGACTTGGCCTATTCAAGCACCGGAACTGAGACGTCTTCAGGTGTTCGACAATCGTTGTCTCAGAACCATAGCTCGTGTGGATGGGTGTCGGCGAATCAGTAACGAGGCAGTTAGAAAGCGCGTTCTCGGTTGTGTAACGCGTACTTCTATTGAAGAATGTGTCCAGTACAAGAAGGACCGCGTGATCCTCACTGTGCCTGGTTGGAGACACTACAAGATATGGCTGCCAACCGATGTCAGTGGCGTTCTTGTTGTTAGTTTCCATCCAGGTTGCCTGAGTGAATGTGTGGAGGTGTAGGCAATTTGAAGTGATTGTGGTAAGCTAGCACTAAGTCCCTTCTCCGTCCACCTTCATTCTTTTCTTTACAATAAGGCTTTCAAACAAATCATGGCTGTATGGCAGTGAAGCATTGGTGTTGAGCACTGATGTCATGCTGTCAATGATGATGATGATGACAAATCGGTGTTATTCAGTGTATCTGGCACTACAAATATAACAGAGGTCAAGTACTGCTGATAGTTATTCTGGCGTTACTCCTTCTCTGTAAGACCGCTAACAAATTTTCCAACGGAAATATCCACTTCGAAGTGATTCAGAGCAAAATCCTCTCCTTATACGATTCTGCTTCGGTGATAATGTTTAATGACCGGCTAGTTAGTTCACTATCAAAGAAATAGCTTAATATAGTGTGGGTTTTATCACAGCAATCGCGGTTGTATTTGACCGATAGATTTGCTCGGTAGCCTTGTCTAAAATTAATACAGCAGATTTTACTGCAGCACGGGCTTCTGGTGACTGCAAGTTAAGTAACTTGTCTGTGGGACACTCAAGACAATTAAAAAATTCAACCTCGGTTACACTTTGCGAAATTATTACCTATTTATTGAACGAACGCAGATTCAAAGAGGGAGACAGGTTTGAAAGAGTCAGCGCAGTTTTGTGATTCACAAATTACGTTTCAAAAGGTAGCTGATAAAAACTTTGGAGAACAATGAGACTATCTCCCTTGGTATCTTTTCATCGTCATTCACCCACTCCACAAACGAATCTTTCGAATCTGTGTTGTAATCACCGCTTTTGAAAAAATGTCCTGCAAGTTCAGGCTGCCCAAAGCAAGACATAAAACTATCTGCTTTTTGTAAACTCATCAGCAGTAAGGACATCGTATCTACAGAGGCATCAGTCACACTTCTGATCAGCCGCTTTCGGTCGCCGGGGCTTAGAACTCGCTGAAATTTCGTAGAGTGAAAAAGCTCATGATTCACAGCAAAAGCAAAACAGCCATACAGGGCTTCTGAACTTTTGGTACCCACTGAGTTCACTTAAAAGAAGAAATCCGAACTGTAAAATCCTAAATCTACTTGCACTAAAAAAGATATCCCAATGCAATAAAAGAAAGAAGTATAATCAAGTTTAGTTAAGACTAAATGTCATCAAATTTGGCCTTGGTTAATAGCCTCTCCAATAATTTTCTCTTCTTAGATTCCATAGCTCTATTTTCTGGTTTTCCGGGAACACATTTGTCTTAGCTCCCGTTGTTTAACATTTCTTGAGGAATGTGAAACATGTCTGGCCATAAAAACCTTCAAGACAAACTACTGGCTTTAATCCTTCCTAGTAGAAAGAAAAAAAAGAAAGTGTTCAGCTGTAGCACCCTTCCGTTGCCTAGCTGCCATGCCACCCGAAGGAAGCACGAGGGCTAGGATACTGCCAGGTTGCCCAAGCCTAGACAGGAGAAGTCGAGTGGCGGAGGTCGGACTCGAAACACGTACCTTCCGGTCAGTAAATTCGCGCTCTAACCACTTGGGCCATCTTGCCCCCCCTAGTAGTAGACTTCCTAGTAGACTTCACATCAACTTTTTTCAAATTGCAAAGTTCAGGATCGTCCCTTGCTAGGAACTTTTTCACGTATTATTTATTATTTATTATTACCAATTCTTATCACATTATCTACCCAAGTGCAAAACAAATCTACCTTATTCATCAGCGGCTTATCGTTGATTAGATACTAATATTTTTTGTACTTCAAACCTATAAGCACATAATTAAGCGTATTTCGTTTTTGCAGCATGACGATACTACCCGTTCGTGACAAGGCTCATGATTGGGAGTAAGATCTTGTCGCATGTAGTTGTGAGCAGGTAGCTTTATAAAGTATTATGTTGACATGAATCACATTTTTTCTTCTTCATAGTCCTCCACAGTTAACCATTTTAGACCCCCTGGGGGGCATACAAATAAATTCCGGTGTTAAGATCTTTATTGTGAGTAGTAAATAACAAGAAACAGATAGTGAAAAACGAAAACTCTATAAGTGGTTTTCACTTTGATAAACCACCTGTGAGGTGCCGAATTTTCTTCCAACATAAGTAAGTTAATCCATATCATGACACTACTGCCACTACTGAGGTGTTACGTATTAGTCAAAAAGCACACTTGCGGGACTTTCGATTCAATGGTGTCCACCCAGTTCTGTCTGACTGGACCAGGATGGCAGATACTGAAGTATGTTGGCACAAGGTTACGAGTGGTTCCCAAATGGGGGATAGGTAGGCCAGAAGTGTTATCAAGTTACGTGATCCGGTCAGATGAGGTTACACTTCGAATAGGACTTGTACGTCTTTTAGTCGGCGCCCTCCAGCCTAATCCTGGATTGCAATATAATCTTGCATCCTGTCGTTAAGCCTTTGCAGATTTCACAGTGCTTAAAAGAGGAAGGACATGGTAATTTAGCCACTAGGTCCGGATCATTGCGCAAGCTCCAAAAAGGTTTAAGGAACTTGTTCTCTATTTTATACCTCATTGGTTGCATGATTAATGAAATCTCCTAGGACATCTTGCCAGTGAATTTGTTTGCGTTTTTGCATACATACGTTTCACAGACAGCAGACAGTAGCACAATTTATTAGGTAGTAGCTGTAGCTACTGTTCAAGAAATAAGCAACATGATCTTTATTCACCCGAAATGCTAAGTGACTCACCTGCTATCTCACTCGGTGCAAGCAGCTTTGGAGCAGTGTAATATGGACCTCTGTAGAACAGCTTTACTCGCTTATAAATACGTCAGGGCTGTGTTTAATAAGCGGTTGATCATGAGGCGGAATTTTATGAGCGCAAGTTATTGACGGTGCATAGTTTCTCAGCTCAAATCACGATCCTTAGGATCCATTTTGGTTTTGTTTAATGAGTACCTTGCGCATAAAACAACCGGACTGATAATAAGGTCCCCTTGTTTAGTCTTGTAAGGATTTTTAATGCTCACAAATCTGAACCACTGTACAAACAGACTTAGACTCCTTCATTAATAAATGATTATTTTAAATCTTTGAAGCACCTATAGCACCTATATAC